TGTGCTGGGAGTACAGGTGTGCACCACCATGCCTGGCTTCTTACTCAGTTTTAAGACCCAGATCAAACATAACTTCCTCTAGGACTGATTCCAAAACTTTCTCAGGTGACAGCACCTTTAATGTCTCAATAATTTTTACATAAAGCTTGTGGGCCAACATATAGTAGCTCTGTTTACTTGGTAGTTATATCCAAAAACCTTAATAAGTGTTTATGTCTTAACAACTTAGGAGCCATTTGAAAAATAATACACATACACTGAAAGAAAAATATTATTTTTACTCCATTCTTAAATAACCATTACTACTTACTAACAAGACAAGTATGTCTGTTTGGCCCAGCACCACTGCTCAAATCATTGCCACTATCATTTCCTGTTCCACATTGATTCTTCTTGGGGACTTGTTTTTTATTACAGCAGTTGCCAAAACCCTAGCTTTAAACATATAGGACATCAAGAGAAATTGCAGCACAAATAATGAAAGTGTAACTACCTCAAAGTAGATACATGCTGTCCAATGGAAGATTAGTATTGCTATGTTTCCCTCAAAAATTTTAAAATATCCCTTGGCACCTCTTTGAGTTTGGCATGATGTTCTGGCCTAGTGTAGCTTGGAGTACAATTTGAGAGCCTCAGGCCTAGGAACTCTGCACTGAAGAGTTGTGTACCCTCTTCTGAGCTGCCTTACTTAGGACACCACACTTCTCTGTCCTGGCCCTTCCCTTACTGCATGGTAAGAAACTGTTGTGAGCATCTTTCTTTCTCTGCATGACCCTCTAGGAGCAAGGCCCATGCTTCCTCCTTTTGTACACCAGTTATGGCCCAGACCCAAGAACCTGGCCTGTGTCCCCTGGAGAGGAACTGGATAGACTAAGGGGGCAGTGTCAGAGCCACAGGGACCCCAGATAATCATGCAGCCCTAGGGAATCACCTTGTCTGACATCAACCAGGAGAATCCAGGCAGGCTCACGTCTGCTGTTCTGAGAGGGAGTGAGAATCCTGCCAGAGCTGGCAATGGTTCCACCCTGAACTAGCTAAGGGAACCTGAAGCTACTGTCCCTAGAGGGTGGCCACCAGTCTGAAAGCAACATTTCAGAGTCTTGGTTTAGTTTTTGGTTGTCATTTAGTTTCTTGGTAAGAGTTCCTTAAAAATAAAAGGGAAAGAAGAGAATGAAAGGATGGAAAAAAGGAAGGCAGAGGGAGAGAAGGAAAGAAGGGGAGAGAGAGGGAAAAAGGGAGAGTGGAGGGAAGGGATGGGAGGAACTGATGATGCTTGTCTCAGGCAAACTAGCAGGAATGGGGTGTGTCCTTTCCCAACCTTCAAAGGCATGAAAGCATCTTTGATGCCGGGGCCAGCCCAAGCTCAAGTGCAAACTTCACCAGGACTGAGGGCAGGTGTCAGAGGAATCCCAGCAGAGCATAGCAGGGCCCTCAGTGGTATGCTGGCTCCTCCCCTTGTGGCTCATTTCTACAGCTGTTCCCCTGGTTTTTTGATTTGCCATCATTTTGTCTTGTTTGTGCTGTTCTTCCCCATCCTTGGTTGGCAGGAGTTCGCGTCACTTTTTTTAATACAGTGCTGCAAACAAACTCAAGACTTATTTGGCAAAATTAGGACTGGGATCAGAGGTCAAGTTTATGTCTGCATGTGACTGAACTTTAATAATCCATGTGTCTTACCGATTCTAGCCAAGAGAGTCCTTCATCACCTTAAGTCCTTGCTGTAATCCGATGGCAAGGCCACTGGCAATTCAGCTTGGAGGTGGTCCTCCATCTGCTCAAGGTCTTAGGTGGCCTCTGAAATAAGCCCTCTGCCAACTTCTGAATCACCCAGAGAGTAGCAGATGTTGGGGCTGGGCCTGGGCTTCAAAGTTCACTGCACTCACTCCCACTTGGCCTTGGCTTTGGCCGCCGGGGGGGTGGGGTGGGCTGTGGGGGTGGCACCCTATGGCAATAGTCTTTCTTCTGGGGAGTGGAGAGCAGCCTCCTTCTCCTGCCTCCCCTGTTCAGTATGTTCTGTGGGCAGAGCTCTGGGAACTCACTCAACCACGGCCAGCTTGGCGGTGGGTAAAGAGGCTGCGGGCCCACCTGTCACGGCAACTGTAAGGAGAAAGGGATTTTACTTCTCTTACCACCTCCTGCCTAGGGAATTTCACTCTTCTGTTTCAGATTGATAACTACTTTCTAGAAACGTAAAAAAAACTTCAAACCACATTACTTCCAGAAAGTTCTTTCTGATAGCTAACTTGAGCCCTTCGTGCCGTAAACAATACTTATGTGGGCCAACCCTCTCTAGAGAGAGTGCGTGGAATACAATAACCTTCCACAAAATTAAAGGTCTCTTAGACTTGCCTTCTTTAGAAAGAAAGAATTTGGATTTCCTTACCTTTTATCACAGCCTTCATCACACCCAACCCTTTAATTATCTCCCTCAGTTTTTTTCCTTGAACCCTCTCCAAAATGTATCTTTTGAGTTACAGAAACTATAACTTAATTAAATCTTTCATTTCCAGAGGATTCTCCCAACTCCTCAGGAGAAATAAATTAAATTTCACTTAGATGTATTTCATTGGGGGAAGGGCATCGGAGAAAGAAATGAGATGCTTTATATAAATAACATGCTGGCCTTACCACAAATGAGTTTTTCCCTTTCCCAATTGTTTTTGAAACAATGGTTCCTTTTCTGGTGAATAACCTCTCACAGATCATGGTTGCTGAGCTTTTGTGGGTACATAGTTTCTCCCCTGACAAAAGCAAGGTGGCTGTCCTCTGTCAGGTAAGCAGGAAGGGAGCAGACAGGCTGTAACTCAGGGGCACCTTGCAGGGTGTGGAATGAGTGAGAGGTCTGTGCTTCTAGCCTTTCCTGAGCCAACTTCCACTCCGAGGGGACCTGAGGGATGTATCTCGCTTCCCCTTAACTTCATCTGACTGTAAAGAGGTTGTGTTTCACAGTGCTGTTCTCATTAGCTGTGCAGACTTCTTTACCCTGACCCTTGGGTATCTGTGCTTAGATTTTCACAGGGGAGACAAAGGTGTTTGACCTGACTTTCTGCTGGGGAGCAGAGGAGGCAGAGTCGGGCTTCCATGCAGCTATCACCTGAGCCAGGCTAAGGTTTCCCTTGTGTATGAAGAAGTGGGGTTACACGTCACCTCTGAGATCCCTTCCCTTCTGACTCTGAGTTTTTCACAGCACCAGTCTCTCTGATTGTTTCACAGAAAAGTAACAAGAGGAAAAAAGGGTTGGTTCTGCAGGAAAAGGAGGCTTGGATGGAGTGTAGTTTAATTTGGATTCCTTCCTTTCTCCTTATCAAAGACCCTGAATCAGTGTAGCATCAAGGAGAGAGAATGATTGCTTACTGATAGCCTAGAAAGTGTCAGGCACTGTCCAGGGCTCCTATGTACACCAGCTTATTTCATCTTTACATCTCACTGTGGAGTGGATGGCCTGAGGTCTACACAGCTACCACACAACTCCACCACCCCATTGGGACTCACTTGAAATGCCCCTTCTGCAGCCTCCCTGACCTGAACCCAGGCTAGATCTCCCTGCCCTGTGTCATCATGGCTTCCTATGCCCTTCCAATACTGATTTGCAACCAGTGTGATTAAATAATTAGCTGTAGGATGGATGTTTTCATGAGCCTGTGCAACTGAAATCTGCGTGAGGTCCATGCAAGACCGTGTAGGTCTTGTTCTTTATTGTAATCATAGGACCTGGTACAGTGCTGACAAAACAGCTGAGATCCTACATAATTACGAAGTGTCAGCATGAGTGTATGCACGAATGAAAGGATGGGTGAATAAAAAAACTGGATAAGAACCCAGAACACTGGCTCTTGGAGGCATGTCTAGAGTTTTAGAAGAGCTCTAGTTGTAAGCGTGTGTAAAGGGCCTGGCTGCTGTCACCATCCTGTGGATGCTCACCCATTGTTAGGACAGCTTCAAGATGTTTCTCTAGAAGTGGGGATGAGAGCACTGCTTGGCCATCCTCTTGTACCCACTGTGACTTGTCCTCAGACAGATCTATGAAGTGGCTGGGGATGATGTACCCATCCTGCCAAGGGGCCAAAAACAAGAATCCACTCTTCAGGGGATCTGGGTCAGTAAAAAAGAGTGGATGAGAAGGGAGGAGGAGGAACCAAGACGTGATCATTTTTAGGGAAGCAAAAATAAAATTCTAATGTGGAAAGTGCTGAAAATAGACTGCATGGGCTGCCAGGCTGCATGCAAATCCAATGCTAATTTCTCAGAAATTAATGGCAAGCCCTAACTTCCACATGCCTCGATATGACCCTTGGGGAGGACCTGCTGCAGGTCTCTCTCCACTCCATGGATGAAAGAGCCAAACATGGCCTCTGATGTCTCCTCCTGTGCACCCAACTCTTGCTGCTGCAGTAGAAAAACCTGAGAAGAGGCTAAAAATACTAACAATAGATATTTGATTTCTTCCAGACAAAAGGCCTTGGCATCCACTGGAGGGAGAAGCGTTCAGGCAGCATGTGACTGGTTGGTATGAAATAAATAAATTGAGAAAATAGCATATAATCAACTCTGAGTGCTTGCGGATGAGTGGGGCTGTACAGTCTTTCTCTAATGGACCCTTCCTGGGCGGAGATGAGCTGAAGGCCAGGTGACAATGCCATTTATCAAGTCAGTCGCCTCTCTGCCCTGGCCCCAGGGTATGCTTGTCCTCGGCACTGTTTAGAGACATTCAAGACCTTTCCAGAATACTTGCCCCCCCTCATCCCTTAAAGATTCACTTTAAGCCAGGTATGGTGGCAAAAACCTGCAAATTCAGCACTCTGGGAGGCTGAGTAGAAGGATTGCGAATTCAAGCCCAGCCGAAACAATTTAGCAAGACTCCGTCTCAAAATCTAAAAAAAGAAAAGAAAAAAAGGCTGGGATATAGTTTGGTACAAAGGCTCTGGGTTCGATTCCCAGAGCCTCCACCACTATCCCCCCCCCCCTCCGCAATTCACTTTAGGTGCATGGATGCCGGGCAAATCCATTTAGAAAAAGATCCCACATTCCTTCCGGGTGCCTGTGCCCAGGGGGACTCCACAGCATCCCGGGAGCTTCCTTTTCTTTGGGGGTGCTTGGACCTCAGAGACTAAACTGAGGGGCGGGATGCGTTGGAACTGTGCTTCCAGATGGGGAAAGCTTTGGAGTTAATCCGAGATGCTTCCTGGAAGTAGCTACAGGGTTTTTAAAGCGAGCTGTGGGATGAGGCTGCAACGGGAGACAGGAAAACAGAAGTGGGTACATGTGAGAGCTGGTTGTGAGGTGCGAGCTGCGAAGGGTAGTATTTCACAGCGCAAAGGAACCCCTTCCCCGCGTGGTGCCCGGGGTGGGGAACCCGGGGAGGGCGGGCCTGTCTCTTTCTGCTCTTTCTTCCCTTCCGTTATTCTCCAGCGGGGCCTCGCAGGCTCTCTTCTGTCTTCCAGGTTGTTCTCCCACGTGGGGGACCCCTTCCTGGATGACCCCCTGCCCCGGGAGTACGTGCTCTACCTCCGCCCCACTGGCCCCTTAGCGCAGAAGCTTTCGGACTTCTGGCAGCAGTCGAAGCAGATCTGCGGGAAGAACAAGGCTCACAACATCTTCCCCCACATCACCCTCTGCCAGTTCTTCATGGTGAGTTGGTGGCCCCTGCCCCCCGCAGCCTGGCTCCCAGCGGCCCCGCTGGCCCCCTCAGACCTGGAGGAAGCGTGAGGGCGCTGGGAAGTGGGTGGATGGTCAGGGATCGGCGTGGTCTCACCCCAGCTCCTCTTGCTCTGTATCTGAGGAGGCCGGGAGCTCCCTGTTCTGGTGCGGCTTTGTGATGACTGCTCCTCTGGCTGGGACATGCCTGACCCTCTGTGGGGATCGCACTGGTCTGAAGCTGGAAGGGTCGAGGAGGTGGCTTCACACTTGTCCACTGTCTCCCCTCTTCGCTCTTGCAAGGGAAGAGAAGAAAGAGACAGCAGGGAATGAGGTGGCAGTCTACAGAGAGGAGCAGCTATTTCAGCCTCTTGACTCTGTCCGGAGCTTTCACTAGATCTTCCTGGAGAAAGTAAAGCTTATCTTTCACACGCCACTATTCTAGTCCATAATCATAGCTATCAGAAGGTTGATTTAAGCTAGGCATGCTGGTGCACACCTGTGATCCCAGAACTCCGTGAGTCTGAGGCAGGAGGATCCCAGGCTCAAGCTCAGCCTGGGCAATTGAGTGATTGACTAAGACCCTCCCTGCTTCAAAATAAAAAATAAAAAAGAGTTGGGAGTGTAGTTCAGTGGGAAGGTCCTGGGCTCAATCCCAGTACCAGGGAAGGAAGGAAGGAAGGAAGGAAGGAAGGAAGGAAGGAAGGAAGGAAGGAAAAATTATTTAGCAACCAAATTACATCTGCTTCCTGTAATACATTAAATAAATGTATCTATATAGCTTCCCATGACAGTGAGGATAATTGACTTAGTCACATATCTTTAAGACAAGTGGAATAGTAACATTTCAAGACTTTTTTTTTTTTGGTGGTACCAGGAATTGAACCCAAGGCCTTTGCACAGAGCTACATCCTCAGTCCTTTTTTTATTTTTTATTTTGAGACAAGATCTTGCTGCATTGCCCATGCTGGCCTAAACTTGCAGTCCTCATGCCTCAGTCTAGGATTACAGGTGTGCATCACCAGCCAGATAAATTTTTTAAAAATATATTTTGCTTTGTTTTTTTCCCAGATTCTCATTCTCTCTCTCTCTCTAATAAAAAAAAAAAAACCAAGTTCCTAAAACCTTCTCTTTCGCCATTCACTTTGAAAATTAGAGTGATTATCACTTCCTCTTAGTCATGCAGGCTTTCTCAAAAACATTGAGTTTTTGAGACACTCATTTTCCTTCAATGCACTGAGGGTGGGAGGATGATGTCACAGCTCTCAGCCTCATTCTTCCCAGCCATCAGGGGGTGGATGTACAGCCGACTCTGATTGTCTAAAAGGAAGCAGAAAGGTACACATTATGCCAAACAGCAGAAAACAACAACAGTTTATCCTGTACTCATCATGTTCTTCTTCTTTCCTTTTCTTTTGGTTTCTGTTTTTGAGCAAAGAAAATTGCTTTATTTTTTTAAAATTACATATATTTATGATAGTTTGATATGTGTACATAGTGGAATGGCTAAATCAAGCTAATTAATATATATCCATTGCCTTGTGTACTCATTGATGTGTGATGAGAACATTTAAAATCTGCTCTTTTAATCTTTTTTTTTTTCAGTGCTGGGTATCAAACCCAAGGCCTTGTGCATGCTAGGCTAGTGCTCTACTACTGAGCTACTAGAATCTACTCTCAGCAGTGTTCAAGTATACATTACATTGTTACTAACTGTAGTGATCATGCTGTATAGCCGCTCTCTTGAATTTATTTCTTCTCTCTCACTGAAATTTGGAACCCAACCCCAACTCTAATTCTTGCTATCTGCTAAACCTGTCCTGCATTTTGGTGGGGCTCAGCAAGGAGAAAAGGGAAGAGGTAATGCCTTCCCTGTTCAGTTTGCCGGATGGAGAATCTGTGCCTGGATAGTTGGGGGCCAGCCATTCGTCTCCAGCCTCCCAGCAGGAGTAATGGTTTAGGAAATCACTGTTACCAGCCACCAGTCCCTGGGGAAAGCACGTCCAGTGCTAAGGGGCAACAGACTCCAGGTAGCCTGGTCTCTGAGTGACATCTGCTCGTCCCCCCACCAGTGCGAGGACAGCAAGGTGGACGCCCTAGGGGAGGCCCTGCAGACCACCGTCAGCCGCTGGAAGTGCAAGTTCTCAGCGCCCCTGCCCCTGGAGCTCTACACCTCCTCCAACTTCATCGGCCTCTTCGTGAAGGAGGACAGTGCAGAGGTCCTCAAGAAGTTCGCTGCAGACTTCGCTGCCGAGGCTGCGTCTAAAACCGGTAAGCACACAGAGCCCAGCCCAGGCCCTGAGAACCAGACTGGGGAAGGATGTGGATAAGAAAGGGTAGGTGGTGGCTGGGAACAAAGGTAAGAATGGCCAAAGTCCAAATATCCTCTTGGGGTCTCCACCCCAGGGACCCCACCGCCTCCACTGGGCTCCACTTCTTAAAGGCTCTGCCACCTCCCAGTTTCACAGCCGCGGGGACCAAGCCTTCACTTAATACATGGCCTCTGTGGGAACATTTCACCTCCAAGCCATGATGGTTATAGAGGAGCAGGCTGGAGGCGGAAGATAGAGGGCACTGCAGGAGCAGCGCATAGGGCAAGAAATCCGCATGTCCCTTTGATGCCTTGCTGTGCTTCTGACTTCCTGGAGAGACTGCCTACTCCCTAAGACCCCAGCTGGGATGCTCAGTGACTGTTCAGCACTGAACTATAGGTAAACCCTTTGCAGCACCCTGGTTCAGAATTCAGGAGACCACCTTGCTTCCTCCTTGCCCTCCATCCCGCACACAGAAGCGTTTATCTGCGTCTCGATGTTTACTCTGTTCTACTTCATGATAAATCATAAGAAAACCCACTGAGCTAAGACCCTCTAACTTGCTGGAGCTTGCTAGAGAGGCCCCTAATCCACAATCTTCTGTCCAAAAGTGAAATCCCATTGAGAGGTCTCCAGCTCTGCCCATGACAGCTCTTAGTTCAAGCCAACTGAGATGTCCAGTGGCAGGGGTCGCTCACACGGATGCTTGGGGTGTGAGTAGACAAGAGGGAGACGTTTCCAGTGCTCCACTGTGGGGCCGCAGCACAGACAGACAATCCAGGATCAGGGGCCTCTGTTGCTCCCTACCAGTCAGCTGGTAGTTTTTGGACACCAATTATGTGTTTATCAAAAAGGATGCTACAAAGAAGAGAATAAGAAGTAGGTGATGCACACCTGCAATCCCAGCACTCAGGGAGGCTGAGGGAAGTTCAGTCCCAGGCTGGAGAACTTAATGACTTTGGGAGACTGTGTCTCAAATCAAAAAATAAAATAGGGCTGGAGATGTAGCTCAGTGTAGAGGCCTTGGATTCAATCCCCAGTACTTGGGGGAAAAAAAAAAAGAAAAAAGAAAAGGATTTCCCCTGGCCAGAGCAGTTAGGAAGCCAGACTCAGGCACCGTGGTAGGAGCGCCAAGAAGAGTGAGGCTGGTGCAGGTGGCATCTTCAGGGTAGAGAGGAAGCTGGATCAGGATGATGGACGTTGGGCCCCTCCAGGGGAGCAGGTGGCAGGAGAGGGTGTGACGGGAGTGGGGAGGGTTCAAGCTGCACTGTCAGGCCGAGTGTTGGATGCAAAGCTGGAGGAGATACCGATCTTGCCAACTCCGCATTTTGAGGGGTCCAGGGAGGGAGGGAGCTGAGCAAAGCCATGCAGTTTGCTCCAGAGTCTGTTGACCTTCATCTGTGTCCCAGCTGCCATTGTTATCACTGCTGATTCAGTACCAATCCAGACCCTTGTGCTCTGTGTTCCTCTTTACCAGAAAAACCTCAAATAGGGCTCGGGATCCAGGACGAGTCAGATCAGAGATCACTGCAGGATACTAATGCATCTCTGCTCTCAGAAGGAGCTCTTAAAACTCTTTCTGGGAGCTCTGTATTAAAGCGTTTTGCTCACTTCCTTTGCTTTCCGTGGAAGCCCCCCTAATCTACACCCTTTTCCTTAGGGCATCCCTTTCTCCCAGGGACCAGCCTTGGAATTCTGGCATCAGTGCAGCCTGATATTTCACACAAGCTGAATATTTCAGAGAAACAGCATAACAGAGAGCCAAATTATTTCCTGTTCTTAGACCTCAAGGAAATGGCTTTTTTCCCTCTTCCACAGTAGCTATTGTCAGAACCACTAAATCCCCATAAGAACCAAAACCAATGTGGTAGCCACAAAACCCAACTCCTTCACAAATCAGAAAAGCAGGCCCCAGCTAGGTCTGTGGGAGATTTTTAGAGTGCATATGGAATGAGAGGCGGTTAGGCCCTCAATTTCCATGTGGAAATGGGGGAGAGCCAGTCCCTCTCCAAGAATCTGCTGTCACTCTCCAAGAATGCCTGGGAGTTGGGATCGCTGCCTGTGTGACACCCCCTGGTGGTAATTTAGGGAACTGCGTGGCCAGGCGGGGTGTAGCTGGAACAGGTCATGTCTTTGTCCTGGAACTTATGCCTTGGTATCCTAGTTATTGGCACATTGCACTTCCTTCTGCCAGTAGATTGTTATTCTCTATCTCAGGTAGTTTAAGGAGACTCACTCATGTGCATTCATTGATTTGACAACTACTGAAATCCTATGTGACATCTGAGTGCAAGTATGGTGTGGACAAAAAGGATTTCCCCTGGCCAGAGCAGTTAGGAAGCCAGACTCAGGCACTGTGGTAGGAGTGCCAAGAAGAGTGAGGCTGGTGAGGCTGGTGCTGTGAAAGAGAGAAACAGCTTTTGTCTAACCAAGGATCTCCCTCCTTTGTTATTTAAGGAGCAGAAATTATCAGGGAACTTTTGTGTGCTGGTGCTGGTTCTTAAGTCTCCACCATTGCTATGATTGCCACATTCTAAACACTAAATTTTTTCTCCCTTTTTCCAGAAGTACACGTGGAACCTCATAAGAAGCAGCTGCACGTTACTCTGGCTTATCACTTTCAAGCCAGCCACCTACCCACCCTGGAGAAACTAGCCCAGAACATTGATGTCAAACTAGGCTGTGACTGGGTGGCCACCATATTCTCTCGGGATATCCGATTTGCTAACCATGAGGTAATATCTTACTGCAATTCCGATGCTGTCAGGTGCAGGCAAGGATTTGATCAGAACCAGAAGTGCTTGCTTCTGGGCACTGCAGTGAGATGGGCACCAAAGGGGAGCAACAAAGCAAGCACCTGCCCAGAATTTTGTCCAAGCTCTGCCAACTCCCTGGGAACCTTTGAGCATGCATCCCTTTCTCTGGACCCCAAGTGGTTCGTTTAGGTAACATCCCCATGGTTCTGTCTGCCCTGCCAACCTTGGAGGGATGTAGAAATAAAATGAAGAACAGATAGAAAATATGGAAAGAATGAAACATTATATTAAGTATTGGTATTGATAGCAGGCATCATTCTAACCTTAGGTGAGTCAAGGAATACATAAATACAAAAAAATATAAAGACATAATGAAGACCTTTCGCTGATGTCTATCCCATGCAAGGTACCATGGAACATACTTGAATTTTTAAATGTGGTCCTGCCCTCAAGGAGAAGGTCAGACCAATAAGACATGAAAAGAAAACTCAGACCAGTCGTTTTGAGAGTGTGTGCATCCCACTGAGAAGCGTGGGTAGGAAGGCTGAATCCTGTCGCAGGCAGACAGATGGGGAAGATTCTAGCATCTTTCTTTTGAGGGAATCCACATTGCTTTGCAGTCAAGCATAAAAGAGTGATTGATACTGGAAGAATGATATTGTCCTTTTTGTCCTTAAAAACAACCTGAAACACAGAGGCTAAATTGCTGGTCCAAAGATAAAGAGCAAGTAAGGACCAGAGGTAAAGCCTGAGCCTCTCCTCTATTCACAGTTTCCCTTTCTGTGCTTTTAGCTACACAAGATAATCACAGTCTGAAGATAATAAACAAAAAATTCCAGAAATAAACTCCTAAGTTTTAAATAACTTCTAATATAGCATTTTGTTACAATTGCTCTATTTCATGATTAATTACTGTTGTTGAACTTTTACTGTTCATAAATTACAGTTCACTACTATCTGGGATTTCAGGCACCCCCAGCAGGTCTTGGAATGAGTCCCCCATGGATAATGGCGAGCTACTGTAGATGAAAAATTTGTCTTCAAATTTAACTATTTATTTGGCAGTATTTACATTTGTTTTCCCAATTTTTCAGTAGCATAAGAACTGAGATTTTGGTTAGTTTACATGGCCTTTTTTTTTTTTAAACCCTCTCTTTTAGGCTTTTTAACATGAAAAAGAGATGGAACCTCAGAGTTCAGACCAAGCAGCTCTGTTTTAAAAGTGTTAGGAGGAACCAACCCAGAAATCAATCTTCAGGGCTGGGTGTGGTGCCTTGCCAGGGAGGTGCAGCTTTTCAATTTTTTTCTGATGGCAATGTCATATTCTCCTTCTGAGTCATCTGACACAGGTTTCAGAAAAGACAGATAAGCAGACCCAGGCTGAAAATAAGAGTTCTAGAGCCCCTGGAATGAAGTGGAATAAGCCCTAAAGACCGGAGAGGTGTGGTTGGACACTTTCTGAGGGTGAAGGTCAAAAAACATCAATGGTTGATGCAGATGGCCTCTGAAAAGTCACCTTTCTGAGAGAAGAAGGTGCAGTGGAATTTTACAAGGCACATCCTCTAATCAGCACTGCCCTCCAGTTAACTCAGAGGGTGATTGCTTTCTGCCTGACCCACATTCTGCTCAATTGGCAACAAGCGCCCGCATGAATTATTTTCTAAAAATAACATGACCTCTTTTATCTCTTATTTGTAAGAGCTCACTTAGTACTGTTCTTCTGTTGCAGCACTCTTTGGCCCCTATAGACCAGAGACCCTCCCTCTGAGGTCTTGCTATCTTCCAGGAGTCTTTCTGTGTGGGGAGAGACCTTGCCTTCCTCCTCCCTCTCTCTGTCCCCAGGAGGGCGGGCTCGAAGGACTGGGCCAGGGAGGAAACAGATGTCCAGAAAAGGAGATGGACTCAGACAAGCACACTCAGCAAAGCACTGTGACTAATGCCTAGGAAAACTGCAAGAGTCTTAGTTCACAGGGACTTGCAGACGCCTGTTTGTACTTGGCACAGTCTCTTCCACATCAGGGATGACTCTGGACCATGCTGCTTCTGTGTGGTGCACCTTGTCGTGGAAATCTAGAGGAAGGACAGAGTCCTGCAAAACCACACATATAGGAGTCTGGCACCCCTGGCTTCAAATCCTGGCTCCTGGCAGTGATTAGATTCACTTTAACAACTTAAATAATTCTTTAGTCCTAATGTTCTCATCATAAAATGGTGGTAGTGTTTTGATGGACCTTGTCATAAACTAGAATAAGAGGTTGTGTGGCAAGGGCCTTGTTGTGTTAGTCAGCTTTTGGTTGCTTTGATAAAATACCTTGGAAAATTAACATAAAGGTGGAAAGGTTTGTTTTGAACTTATGGTGTCAGAAGCTCCTGTTCATGGTCAACTGGTCCCACAGCTGTGGTCGAGGTGAGGGGGACCTTGTGGCAGAAGGACATAGGGGAGCAAAGCTGCTCATCTCATGGGAAGCAGAGACACAGGGAAACAACCAAAGAGGAAAGAACTGGATATAACCCCAAGGTCATGCCCCCATGATCACTTCTTCACGTAGGCTCCACCTTCTGTTCCTGTCATCTCCTAATAATGCCATCAGATTACAGTTGCATTAATGGATTAATCCACCTGATGAAATTAGAGCCCTCATTGTCCAGTCACTTCCCAAAGCCTGTCAGCTGGCAACCAGGCCTTTAGCACCTGAGTTTTGGGGGGCAGTTCAAATCCAAACCATAACTGGTCCTAATGTAATGTCTAGCACAGTGTGGTTTTAACAAAGAAATCACTGCAGCAGCTTTTATTGTCCCAAAGAATAAAGGACTTCAAGGGTAACGTGGTTCAGTTTGTTATCACATAAGGCCCTGACTACCTATCAGTTAGCAAACTCTAAGGTGAGGGAGGAAAAGCACACCTATGATAGACAGAAATGCTTACAAGCAGATGCCAAACATAAAACAGAAGCATTAGTATAATGTAGTATGAAGTAGGCGTCGTGTCCTGATATCTGTCCCTTAGGCTGAGCCTTTGTATCTGCTTTTGAGGAGTGGGAAGGGGGCGGGGACTTGAGTCCCAGTTATTATTTTATTTCATTTTTAAATTTTTTGATGTTGGAGTCTCAAACATCCTAAGCACATACTCTTCCACTGAGCTCTACCTATAGCCCCACAGGTATCATTTTAGATTTGTCTGGATGCCTCAATTCTTACATTGTTCATTTGATAAGTCAAAGCTACTTATTGTCCAACTATTCTTAGGACAGATTGTCTCCAAATTTTGCTGTGCCTTGATTTTCCTGGGAAAATCTTAGCGTAGAATACTGACCCCTCTAGAGCTGGGCATGGTGGCATACGCTTACAATCCCAGAGTTCCAGAGGCTGAGGGAGGAGGATCGCTGTGAGTTTGAGGCCAGCCTGAACTCTGAACTACATGGTGAGACCTTGTCTCCCCCCCCGCCAAAATATATATATTATATATTATATATCCCCCTCTAAAATGAGTTCTCATGGGCTGGGTATTTAGCTCAGTGGTTCTGCCGCCTGCCTTGCAAGCACAAGGACCCAAGTTCGATCCCCGGTACCAAAAAAAAAAAAAAGAAATGAGCTCTCTGAGTTGCTTTGAACTTTTTATAGGGGAGGCACTACTAGGCCAAAGCCATTATAGGCTGAGACTACTCTGCTGAAGTATCAGAAGAGCATGAGTTTAGACTTGTTTCACTATGACTCTCGGCCTCCCTCCACCCTGTTCCAGGAAGAGGAATGTGTTTGTCACAGATCATCACATTCCCAGCTTTAAGATTTAAGAGATTTTTTTGTGTGAATTTTTTTTTCCTTTAAAAAAAAGAATTAACCCAGCAGAAACCTTCCTGATTTGTTTGGAAAAGTGACATGTGTGTACATGAGGCAGAGGAACAGGAGAACAGAGGTAATCGGAAGGGGCAGGTCCAGAGCAGAAAGATGCTGGAGAAAGAACTGGGGAAAGAAACTAGCACCCAGGAGTCCATAGCAGTCCAACTGGAGCCATAGCAGTCCAGTGGTACGCATGAGCTCTTGCATTGTTGACCTCGTTCTCCGAGATAAACCACATTTTCTAGCTCTCTTCATTGCTTCTGCAGCACCTGTTCTGGTGGGTCACTCTGACGCCAGCAAGCCAACTGGCTCCCAGGCCTCCCAAGCACAGAGCTAGGACTTGGGGTTGGCCGCAAGGATGGATATTACTTGGGAGAGAAGACATTATGCTTCCACAGGAATAAGTATGCCCTTCTGTGTACAGGGCTCTGTCTTAAGGCATCATCTTATATTGTCTCATTGAACTTTTATAGTCCAGGTATTTTTTTACAGATGAAAAAACAAAGTTAAAAATCCAAGGATGGTAACCAGGATATTTACCCTATTAACAGCTTTGGGACAGTAGAAAAGCTAGGAAAACATTCCCATCTTGGTATTCCTTATGAAACAAATAGGATAGGAAATATTTTCCTTACTATTGAGGTCTCCTGCTGCTAATTAAAAAAAAATCAGAGAATGCATCTTTTCTAAGGTACCTTTAGGCCTATGATATTTATATACATCAGGAAAGACAGGCCCCCAAAAGTAGAATAAATCAGCCAAGTGGCATGGCCTTGTGCTTGACCCTAGGGCCTTTTCTGAGCTCAAAGAAGGAAGGCATGGCCACCATCTGCTGTATGAGGAAGGCTGGTTACACTCAGACACATGCACTACTGTCTGTGAAAGATGGTTTTCTTTCAAACCTTTGTTAAAACTGCAACTTTAAAGAAACTCCCTGTTTAAATAGCTGAGGTACAAAGATGGGGACTCCTTCATTCCCAAACCCCTCCTGTAGGAGCAACCCCCACCTGGGCCATCTGTGAGCCCCATTTGAAAGATTCACTTTCCACGAGCTGCATCTGCGAGCTGCTGCCCTGCCTGCCACTGATGGGCCAGGGGAAACTCCATTTACATAGCAGTTGACTCAACTGCCTTTCAGCTTTCAGGTAAGTTTATAAAATGGGTCTCTGAATCCTGAGGGGAAGTGAAGACACAGAGGAAGGAAAATCTGGGAGAAGCGAAATACTTTCTGATAGGAATCCAGAGCTACTCAAGGCCTATCGGCCCCATCCCCATCCAACACCATGTACCATTTATACAGATTCTCACCCTCTAGGCGTTGGAAAATGAGTGTGCTCAAGCTTGGCTCCTCTCCCTTTTTCAGACATTGCAGGTGATCTACCCCTACACCCCGCAGAATGACGACGAGCTGGAGCTGGTGCCGGGGGACTTCATCTTCATGTCTCCCATGGAGCAGACCAGCACCAGTGAGGGCTGGATCTATGGTACCTCCCTGACCACTGGCTGCTCCGGGCTCCTGCCCGAGAACTACATCACCAAGGCTGATGAGTGCAGCACCTGGATCTTTCACAGGTAAGGAGACTCTGACCTTGGCCTGCTCGGTGGAAGCACATTGCTGTGGTAGACTTCAGGAGTGGTGGGGAAGTGGACTCAGTCCTGGACCACAGGGTGGCAGAGACAGGAAGTGGAGCCCCTGGAGAACAAGCTAACTCGAGGCGTGGGAAAAGAGGGTAGTGGACTGTGCCACTCACTGTCCTGCCTGTCGATGTCAGTATTTTCCTGACCGGAGACTAATCGAAAGCTGCCCAGGAATCCACCTCTTTGGCTGATGGGTGATGACTCTTCAGTGCCGGGTCTTCATTGCTTTAGGACCTCTGTCTACCTTGTCCTGGGTCATTACTCCAGCTGGACTGACTCCCACAGCAACCAGGTAGATTCTTGCTGTGACAGACCGACAAACAGCAAAAGGGGCTGCCAGGGTCAGGAGTCCTAACTGTACCCTCACTTGCTAGGTCACCTTGAGCAGGTCCTCAGAGTTGGCACATGCATGCCGAGCCAGCAGGGACTGTGTCTGATCTAACAGGCAGCTGCCAGAACTGTACAGGGGCACATTGCCCCATCCTTCTTTAGAGCCATGCTTTCCACCCATCCCTCACTACTGTTTGGTTCCTGGTCCATACTGGCCCTACCTTCAGAGTGGTCTGTGTTATTTGGCTAGCCCTGTCATGACAGATTAAAATAAGAATAAACAAAATAAATAAATAAAAATAAAATAAGAATAAAAGCACCTTCCCTTTCTTTTTTTTTTTTAGTACCTGGGATCGAACTCAGGTCTTTGCGCTTGCATAGGAAACCACTGAGCTAAATCCCCGGCCCTCACCTTCCCTTTCTTAATGCCAGCATCTCAGAGCCAGCCCTTCCCTGGCACACGTGGGCACCTAGCCAGGGTATGTGTGCTGGTTTGTTTTTCTTCCCTCTTTTTTTGTCACGTGGCAACGTGATTAAGAGGCAGAAACCCTGGGCAGCAGCTGCATGGTGGCCAATACTGTTTTCACTACCACGAAAGAGAGGCAGACAGGGGCAGTTTCTGCAAGTGTTCTGCTTGGAGATAGAAAGGAAAAGAAGTACCCTGCCCTGGTGAGCAACAAGCAGACAAACCACGAATCCAAAGATGGAAAAGAACATTTTCTTCCTTAACAACCTTCCGCCTACAGCTCCGCCCTCTGCTGGCTGTCTGCCCCTCCCCCATCCTACCCAGCCAGCGTCCCCCAGAGGGCTGGAGCCACCTGTGTCTCCAAATACGTGCTTTTTCAGAAATGGTTCTGAAAATCAAAATAAGTTGAATTTTCAATGTCACCATATTATCTGTATAAAAACTAATAAAGCAGAACACAGCCATACACCACCCCATGATGTTTGTTTGGGGCAGTGATGGGACTCACATACGCAGGATAGAGTCCAGTAAAGTTGCATTGCTTTGTGTAGAGTACACTCTATGGTGCTTCAAAACGATGAAATCACCCAGGGACACATTTCTCAGGACAAATGCACATTGTTAAGTGACCGTTGCTGAGAGTATGGATAAACTGAGAGCTGAAGGGTGATTGGTCAGAGGGAGCCCCCAGCTTTCCTGCCTCACTGTGGGCTCCAGATGGGAGCAGAGAATGCATGAGAAGTCCTGCTGACCTGAGTAGTATCCTCCCATGCGTACCCACCTGTCCCTGAGTTAGAGCTAGGGCTGAGCCCAAGTGACTTCTCTCAGCAGGTCACATGGTCTGTATATCACCCTTTACTTTGTGAGGTCGTTTCCAAGAAAACCCATTTGAAATTCACCTACCAGCATCCACAGCCAACCCTGCCAGAGTGGGGAAATCATTCCAATTAAGAATTTGAATTTTAGCCCGTTTTGGTGGTGCGTTCATGTGATCCCAGCACTTGGGAGGCTGAGGCAGGAAGATCACTGTGAGTTAGTTCAAAGCCAGCCTGAGCTACAAAGAGAGACTCTGTCTCAAAAAAAAAAGAAGTGAATTTTAACCAGCAGTCAGTCTTGGATTTAAAGCCCAACTCTCCCATTTATCAGCTGTGTGGCCTTGGCCAGATTATACTGCCTCTCTGAGCCTCTTTTTGTTCACCGTAAAATGAGATAGTTCCACTGCCTGCCTCTCAAGCACAAGGTCCTGAGTTCGATCCCTGGTACCAGAAAACTAAAAAATAAATAAAATGGAGATAATTATCCCACTTACCTAATAGGATTTAGTTTTACGTGGATCTGTCAGGTATGCAACAGCACCAAATATACAATAACCATTAGCATTGAGTGTTCTTTTTCTTCTATCTTGTGTTTACCAGTCCTCACTTCCATGCTCACCAAATTGAATGTCTTTTCCACAAAGCCATCCTGTTTGAGCCGAGGTAGAAATGCTGCACAGAGGCAGCGCCCAGCTCCACTGTGAGACCACCCTCCTCTTGTCCTAACCAGAGACAGACCAGAGCAGGTGGAGCCCAGGGCTGAGCTCTGGCCAGACTGATTGGCCTGCTGGGAACATGAGAGGGCCCTGGTTCAGTGCCCTTCACACCCCTCAGCCCTCTGGGTGCCTCCTAAGGAAATGCGTTCCCACTGGCCCCCTGGGCTGTCCCCCCTGCCTCAGAGTGTCCCGGGTATTTGACAGCTGATGGAGCCCCACTGTGTCCCCTGAAGTGGGAGGACTGCCTGGCCTTTCTAGGCCTGACAGGCCTACTGTGTTCTAGGAAGAAGCCCGCACCTCCAAGGTGCTCGAGAAGAGGTTCTGGGCGTCGGCCTGGCTTCCTTCCTACCCTGCTCTCAACATACAGCACCCACTATTGTCTTCTGGGAACACACACACACACAAACACCCACACACACATGCCGTCTCAGGGGAAGTCAGGTCCTTGGATTGCAGTGACAGGAGAAGAGGAGGCTGATGTTCTCTATGCCAAGTGAGCGGAAGGGGAAGAGAAGCGATCCTATCAGTGTCTTCCCGGCTGTAATAAAGAAATTAGAGACACATACAAGCAGGATGTCAGCCCCATTCCAGAGAACCAGACACTCCTGGGCACTGAAGCTTTGATAAACCAGACAGGAAATCTGAGTTTTCTGTAACTCTGGTATTAGGAGGGTGTCCATATGGAATAAAGGGAAAGGGCTGGCCTGTTCAAATGGCATGAGATGTCCTTGGGCTATAGTTACTGAGATCTGCTCATAACAGGTTTCATTGCCTGCACAACAGTCTTACTGATGCAGCTGCATTACACTCTTGGCTCCAGGTTGTACCCTACACCCCGAGTCAACCACTGTGAAGAGTAGTTTCCAGGCAGGAGTAGTGTTTACAGGTTCTCATAGGCACGGGGCTGAAAATCAGTTTTTCAGGCTATAAGGCCTCTGAGAACTTGGCTTGTAAGTAGAACGAGTCTATCATTTGTAGTTTAAAAGAAGAAAGATGAGGGGACACTTCTGAGAGCCAAGAGGTTGCATAAGCATTAAAATCATATAATTCCTTGAAAAGAAAATCTGCTGAAAACCAGTTAGCTTAATGTTCTTGGGCGACATAAGTTATTTTCAAAAATAAAATTTTAGCCAGCATAGTAATGCACTGCTATTGTCCCGCCACTCATGGAAGTTGAGGCAGAAGCATCATGAGTTCAAGGTTAACCTGGACTTCCACACTGAGATCCTTCCTCAAAAAAATCAAAATAAGGGGCCTGGGATTTAGCTCAGTGGTTCCACCACCTGCCTTGAAAGGGCAAGGAGCAGAGTTCAATCCCCAGTACCCCCCCTCACCCCCCCCCCCCAAAATCAAAATAAGCCGGCCAGGACAGCTTACATCTGTAAGCCCAGCATTCTGGAAGACTGAAGCAGGGGGATCACAAGTTCAAGCCCAGCTTGGGCAATTTAGCAAGCACCATAGGCAACGTGATGGAAAGAGTTAAAAAAAAAAAAATCCTCCTCATCTTATCAGATAGAAATTACCATGGAAAATGTTAAAGGCAAAGGGAGTTGTTCAAATTTCATTTGAACCATAAAAATAGCTGGAAACGGTGGTACATAATTGATACCTCATTATTCTTTAACATGCCTTTGGTGCCAGCCATGCCTGTGACATCCTAATAAGCACAAAGTCATTGGACCCCATCCCTTCCCAGGGGATAAAAGCATCTGTTCTCCGTACAGAAGTCTACTTACTCGTCACTTATTAGCTGCAGGACTTCAGTATAAAACAAGATGTTCTTCCCCGGGGGTGGGTGCACCCTGCTCAGTCTGTCCAAGCACTGTGCTACCCAGGGAGTATGTGCTGCTTCTTCCCATCAGCCTGAAATGCAGGTGACTTGTGGCCAGACAGTTTAACATTTTCCTCATCTTCCTCTGCAGTTCGTACTCCATCTTAAATACAGCATCGTCCCACTCGCTTACATTTGGTGATGGTGTGTTAGAGAGGCGGCAGTATGAGGACCAGGGGCTCGGGGAGACAATGCCTCTCACTATCATCTGCCAGCCCATGCAGGTAAGACTGGTGTGTGGGGTCACAGCCTCGAGTCTAATCGTGACATGCTGAGAACCGATTTATTAAGTGTCAGCATTGTGCTTGCTGCCCCCAGAGGGTCCCTGACCTCTTGATACAGCACCCAAGATCATAGAAAAGGTTAGGAAGAGTCAAGTGAGTAGTGCTAATAATGACCACCAGCATTTGAGTCTGGGCTAGCAAGGAAGGTTGTTCCACAGAGAAAGGAGATTTTTCTCTCTAAAGTAGCAATAATCCCCACAGTTCTATCTGCTTTGTATATTGTTGTGAAAATTAAGGACAATAATAAAATAAGGCTCTTAGCACAATAGCATAGGGTGAGTGAGTGCTCCATATATGTTACCTTCTCCAAGAGAGGTCAGGGAAGAGAGTAGAGAGGAGTAGTTGTTGAGCAGTATGAACAGAGGTGAGTTGAAAGTTCAAGCATTGTGAGGATGAGAAGAGCAGAACACTTTGGATGGAACCAGGGATGTGAGTTATGGAAGGGTAGGAAAGGAGATGGAAAAGTTCCTTCTCCCAATGCACACATCACCTTTGTCAGGACAACTAGAAGCTAACAAAAGAGCTCACTGCCATGGACCTCGAAGCACCAAGAAAACTGAAAACAGCAGACTATCATTAAGAAGGAACAGAAACATCTGTAAGGTTCCACCAGCAGTCATAGAAACCAAAAGCACGTGGATCTGCCTTTGACTAGACTTGCCTATTTCGTCATTCAGGAATAGCTGTTCTCCCTAAACCATTTCTGAGAACATCAACATCTATGTAGTCAGACAGCAGAGCCCACATGGTGATTAGAATAGGCAAAACCAGGCTTCACAGCTGGAGTAGACAGCACTAAATATAAAAGAGCCATTGGCATCATGACTATTCTTTCTTTCCATAGGACCCAAAAGGTCCTTAAGTCATCACTACATTTTAGAGATGTGACAGACACATTTGTAACAATAGAAGTTCTTGGTCCCTGAAGAAGCTAATGAAGTATACCTTTAGGGGAGAAAGCTATCCCACTGGATGACTACATTAATGGCTAGTTTTATCTCTGAGCTTTAACTCAGTTGGCCTGCCTTTGTGTTTTAGTAGTGACAAAATGCTACTCCTACTGAAAGTGGCAGCCATAATACTACTTTCAGACACCCCCCTTGTTTTTCGTACTAGAAATTGAACCCAGGACTTGATGCATGCTAGATTCCCAGTCCCTTTTACTTATATTTTGAGACAGGGTCTCACTAAGTTGCCCAGGCTGTCCTCAAACTTGGAATCTTTCTGTCTCAGATTCCTAAGTAGCTGGGATTACAGGAGTACATCATTGTATCTGGATCATAACCCTTCTTATTTGACAAAACACCTGCAGTTTGTCTCATTTGAGCTTCAGAATAGCTTGTGAGGTCAGTAGCATGGGTCTTAAAAATCCTTATTTTACAAACAGCCAATCTAAATCCAAGGTTCTCAGGGGTTTTCTAAAGCTTCACCTTTGCAAAACTTCAGGTCATGTCTATGGAGCCATGTGCTCCTTTGGGATTCACTTTTCTTCCTCTGCAGCCTCTGAGAGTCAACAGCCAGCCCGGCCCTCAGAAGCGGTGCCTCTTTGTGTGTCGGCATGGAGAGAGAATGGATGTTGTTTTTGGGAAGTACTGGCTGTCTCAGTGCTTTGATGCCAAAGGTGAGTGCTGTAGACCCCCTTATCTGTGGTTTTACTCTGTGGTTCCAGTTGCCCCTAGTCAGCCACAGTCTGAAAATATTAAGCGGAAACTTTCAGAAACAAACAATTCATAAGTTTTAAATTGCACTCCATCTTGAGTAGTGTGATAAAATTTCATACCATCCCATTCCTCCCAGCCTAGGTGAATCATCTTTTTCCAGTGTATCCACACTGTGTATGCTGCCCACCTGCTAGTCACCTACAAGCCATCTTGGTTATCAACTCTACTGTCACCATATCACAGTACTTATGTCCAAGTGACCATTATACAGTAGACTAATGTCATTTGCCCCATCATACAGACATTATACTCTTCCACATCATCACAAGAAGGGTGAGCACAGTATGATAAGATATTTTATGAGGGAGAGAGACCACATTTACATAAATTTTATTGCCATATATTATTATCATTGTTGTTTTATTATTGTCCTCTCACTGTGCCTAAGTTATGAATTAAATTTTATCATAACTTTGCTTGTGTAGAAAAGAATACAGTATATACAGTGTTCAGTAGTAATATTTGGTTTCAGGCATCCATTGAGTGTCCTGGAACTCACCATCTGCATATAAGGGGAACTACTGTACTGTAGTGGGTTGACCTGGTGAACTGGCATACTGACCATGGCCTCTAGGGGGCATAGGCAAGCTACATTTGCCTACCTGGAGTCATTTATGAGTTTGAATACTATTAGAGGATGCCTGTAATCTGTTAAGTCCTTCCTGATTGTCTTGGGTCTTAAGGAAGAGCTAAGTCTTCTTGTCTCCATTGTATAAACTGAGGCACAAGAGACCGAAGAAATGTGTTGCCTATGCTCATATGACAAGGTCAATCTCAGGGACATGTCATGATTCCATGGTCAGAGACTCCTCCATTAAATCATCCTGGCTCATCTAGTTCCCCTTGCACTGTAGTGGCATTTTAAGATAGGTATCAGAAAATTCCACCTGGTTTACAGTGTCTGGTTGTTATTTTCACTTAGAAACTATCTCTTGTCACTTTCGTCAGCAGAGCAGAAGAGTAGATTCCACACCAGTCAACTGAATAAAAAGTATCAGATTCAATGTTGTAGATCGGCTGCTAAGAGCTTGATTCAGAAAGGAAGCAGTGTCAGGATCAACAAGGCAAGTCCTAAGAACAAGAAACTCACTCAGCCTTTGTCCAACCTTTCCTTCCAGGCCGCTACATACGCACCAACCTGAACATGCCTCACAGCTTACCTCAGCGGAGTGGTGGCTTCCGGGACTATGAGAAAGATGCTCCAATCACAGTATTCGGGTGCATGCAAGCAAGACTAGTGGGTAAGTGTCCCGGAGTGACTGACCAGGATTTCCTGGCTCCTTCTTCAAAAGACTAGTGCCAAGAGTGTGTCAGGATACTTCCAGGGACCTTCCATAACTTTCCAACAGTGATTGATGTATTTCTTCAGTTCAAAAGGGACCTGTTCCACAACCATTAGGTTCCCGGTGCTGGCTTGGTTTATCAAAATGAACAACCTGTGGTCCCTGTTCAGGAGCATGGTGGGGAAGGTCACACTTGGTTTACTTATAACACTGGAGTGACAGACACATCAGCTTCTGACCACAGCACCTGACAATATAGCCCTAAGGAAAGAGCTAGGATGAGGAGGAAAGAGCCCAGAAATTGTAAAATTTACAGAGGCCAGTTAATGCTTTATGACACTCAGTTCTTTGTAGCCCTGCTCCATACCAGCCATGCAGAGACAATGCCTTGTGCTGTTCAGCCATTTCACAGATACTTATTGATCACTTACTTTGTGTAAGTTACTGGGCTAGGTATCGAGGGCCCAAGTGTGAGTCTGTGAGAAACAAACATATATGTGGATAAAGATCATGCAGTATGGACACTGAATAATAAGACTATGCACCGAATACTGTCGGAGTACAAATTTTAAAAATTTTTAGAAAATTTAAAAATTTTCTAAGAGGAGAAGAGAGGCGAGCTGGGATGTGAAGAGAGAGTAGCCAGGAGAATGAGCAGGAGGAAGAGAAGGGTGTTTGTAGGAGAAAAAGCATTGTAAACAAAATCACAGGAGTAAGAAATAGCATCAAGGCGACAGGGAAAACAAACTTTCTTGTTTCTAGAGCATAAATTGTGAGGCCAAGCAAGAGACAGGATGCCAAGATAAATAAAGACAAGTTCACAAAAGACCGTGGCCACCATATTAAGGTATTGATTTACCTGGTAGAGAAAATAAGTAGATTGTATGAAGCAAACATTAAAGCATCAGATGTTGAGATTTATCTCTGGCATCCAATATGACCAGTTGAGATTTTGGTTAACACAGCATGAAATTAAAGCAAGGTCTAATTTTCCCTTCCTTATAATAGAGAGATTAGAATATTGTCCTGTTTGAAGTCAGGGCATTGCTTTGTTTCTAGGTTTCCCTTAAGAGGACATTTTGCTACTTGTAGCCACTAAAGAGAAGGTATGAGAAAAATAAGAAGGGGCCTGTTGCTTGGCATCTCCTATAGGCACTCTGGTGAGGGGATTTATTGGAAACAAGGCTAACACTACTGGATCTATGTGGGCTGCACTGGATGAGAGAAGTCCACTGGGTCTGCTTGGAAACACATTACACTGAGGGTCGAGCTGAGTCCAGGTAAATCTAACAGACTGATTCTCCATGATTTTCCTTGCAGGAGAAGCCTTGTTAGAAAGCAAAACCATCATCGATCACGTCTATTGCTCACCATCCCTACGCTGTGTTCAGACCGCACACAATATCTTGAAAGGTGAGATTCTCAGGTTGACAGAAATCCATTAGTCTCTCATCTCCAGACACCTAATTATTGTAGTGTTGTGGGATACTCACCAATTGAAAGCTTTGAATCTGGAATTGTGAACAAGGATTCTTTCACAAGATGACTGATCTTGCACAAATCACAAACTCATGCACTAGCGCCATAAGCCAGACAAAAGAAAGTATACTAATAATGTTTTTCCTGAGAATTGAAAGCTTTCTTGAATGAGCTGTAGGCTTGCAAAATCTTTAGAGCTTGTAGAGCAGTGATGCTTTCTTTGTACTTAGGTAGTCAAATAGTTTTTCACTTGGCTTTGATCTGTTGTTTGCCAGTAATTTATAGCCACAGTGGTGCTGCTGGAGTCTCATATCTTGATCATCCTTGTTTCTTTAGTTAATAAGAAGAACTTTAAAAGTGCCACTGCCATAAAGATACTCAACTTTCACCCTAAAATCCATACAATTTTGTGGTACAAAGATCTCTATTCTCATTTCATTAGACAAAAAACCGGGGGGAAAAAAGATTTGTATCAGAAAACAAAAGAGGCAGAAATAGACAAGCCAGTAAAGAATTTGACACTATATGAGTCTTCAATTCTTTAACCTTAAGTAAACTTTCCCTTCCCTACAGAAGCATTTATGTGTTAAATTTGCACAGAGAAACTGGACCAAATGCAATATAAAGAAAGCTAAGCTAAGGGGCAGGGATTTAGCTCAGTGATTCTGGCACCTGCCTCACAAACACAAGGTCCCGAGTTTGATCCCTGGTACCAAAAAAAAGAAAGCTAAGCTAATATAAAGGGACAATTCATACTCTGAAGGTAATCACAGTCCAGTGAAACACAGCACTTCTGCACTGGTCCATAAAACATTAGGTTTTCTGATAGAGAAAATAAATAATTTATGTGATATTTAAATATAATTTAAGCTGCGGAACAGTTGTGGATGCTAGGAGACTAGCTAAGTTTTTTGATAAGATGGTCATAGAATTTACTTTAGAAAGAGAAATCATAATTGTCACAAAATTGAATAAACTATCAATGACTCATGGGTTTTTTTTCCTCTTAAATCAGACATGACTTAAAGCCAGCATTTATTCCAGAGGTGTAGCCTGAGTATTAAACTCGTGTGTTGGTAAAATACAAAAATTATAAGCTTTGTCCAAATCCACATGCTTCCCACTTTCTGTCAGCTATATATAGCATCTAGTAGGGAAAAGAATAACTGCCTTAGAATTTTTATAGTAGTTTGGCCTATAATTTGTTTTCCACTGAGAACATAATGGCATTTCCTTCGTCTTCATTTTATTTTATTTTACCTCTAAGGTTTGCAACAAGAGAACCACTTAAAGATTCGTGTGGAGCCTGGTTTATTTGAGTGGACAAAGTGGGTTGCCGGGAACACGTTACCTGCATGGATACCTCCATCAGAGTTAGCCGCAGCCAACCTGAGTGTTGATACAACCTACAGGTAACCCCTGAAACTGCTGCTGCCCAGAGCCAATGTGAAAACACCTTCCACATTGTCACTAGGCCAAGTTGATCAAGCAGATTAAGGGCCAGCCAGCCTGTGAACTTGTCAGTAATGGTGGAAGTGAAACTGATTTCAGAAGCCAAACAAATAAAGCCAGCATGCCATTGTATTTAGCATTAGTATGACTGATACTTCTCACTCCAACCTTCTCCTGTGTTGGCTTTTCTGATTTTATTATGTCTAGCTTAGTCTAATAACCATTTTGCATTCCAGGAACATGCATCAGCTAGGGATAATGTAGTCCAGAAACTCGGAAGACCAGGGAGGTGACGATGTCTTGCCTTGAATTTCCACTTTTAATTTTCCAAAGCATTTTTAGCTCTCTATCCTGTGCTCATTTACTATTGCTATAATCCTGTAATGTGAAAAGGCCACTTTTAAAAATTTTTTGTGTTACTGAGGATGGAAGCCAGGGCTTTGCACATACTAGGGAAGCGCTATGCCATGGAGTTACATTCCCAGCCCAGCAAGCCATTGTTAATCTATAAAGCAGTTCAAGTGACTCACCTAAAGTTATACATTTAGTGAGTACACAAAAAAGTCATAATGATGACAAACATTTATTGACCAATTTCTGCTTCTCAAGTATTATGTAATATGCTTTACAGTCATTCTCAATCCTTTTCTGTTGATTTTTTTTTCCCTTAGATTAGTAGCCTCTCTATGATGGAATTTTTTTAAAAAGTGTAGATTCTGAACAGGTTAATAACCCACATGTATACAATTAACAATTAATTGACAATATTATTGTTACATTAGCTATCCTAAACTCACTCAACATTTGTAAAATCTCTGCAAAGGGACAGTCATAGCCGTGTAGTGGGAAATGAAACTGATGTTTCTTCGAGTAGAATTTGGAACAAGTGACCAAAATAAACACAACTTTCTTCCTTGTAGTATCTGTCATTTCAAGTACCTACCCAAACCACAAATGCAGCAATATGAGTTTCTGGCTAAGGAAGGAGAGAATATCTATTTTTCCCCCCATACTCATTTTTCTGCTCTGCAGATAAGACCTCAGATAATCTGATTGCTTGATCGCGTGCTACTTCTTCTTGCCTTCAAGGAATCTGAAGTCCTCAAAAATAAAATTAAATCAGTCACTCAGGCCCCCTACTAATAGACTTCACGTTTTGTTCTCTGGCCACTGTTTGCTGTCTTTGACGGGGGTGTCCTTGAGGAATAAATTGTTGTCTGCAGCCCAGCAGGCATCCTCCCTCTGGCCAGAAAGAGGTTGAGTTGCTGCCAATATTGGTGAAGTGAGTTCATCCCTCTCCATCCAGCCCCATCCAGGCCAACACAGGCTGACTGTGGATGTGTTCAGCTCCCCATAGATGAATCTGCAGCGCTTCCCAAGCTGGACTGGAAGCTCCCCAGGGCTTGCACACCCAGGTGCACACAGACCACACACCTCACCAGCAGGGCAATCAGAAGAAGGAATCCTGGGGACTTGGGGACCAAGACATGGTTCTTATTCCATATTTCCTTTTCCTCTTCAGCAAATCAGAATTTAATTCAACCATATTTTGTTTGGGATGGGGCCAGAGAGATGAAGCCTCTAATTCTACAAATCAGTTGAGAAAGCCAAAGTTAAAAGCATGTGAGATACATGGTCCTAGACTGAAACTTTCCCTGAAGTTAATGATGCCAAATGAACAGGCCTTTTTTTTTTTCCAGATTATATTTTTCTTTGTTTATTATAAGAACAGGAATTATATTTTTTCATAGCTATGTCTCCATCACTTAGGTCACAATTAGGCACTTAACAGGTGGTCAGTATTTGTTAAATAAATTTTTTTTAAATTTATATATTAATTGGTACATTTTAGGTATACAATACATTTACATTTATCTTTGGGTGTTTGTACCTGAACACGATGTATCTTAGTTCTTATTTTTTTCCCCATTACCTATGCGCCCTTCACCCCCACCACCCTTCCCTATTTACATAGACTTTGTTTCCATTTTTTTTTTCTTTCTCATAATTTTTCCTTTCCTTTCTTCCCTTTCCCCTTCCCCTCCCACCACCCCTCCACCTTTGGACCTTTTCCTATTTCAAATTATCAATTATTCATTTTAATCATTTTAACCCTTGTTTACACTATCAGTTTCTCACTCTAGAGAAACTATTTGGTATTTACACATGTGTGTCCTATTTATTTCACTTAAGAGTATGGCCTCAATATGCATCCATTTAGCTATAAATGACTCTAGTTTCTCATTCTTTATGGCTGAATAGTACTCCATTTTATGAAAAAACCACATGTTCTTTATCCAGTTTCCAGTTGATGAGCACTTGGGCTTGAACAAGCCTTTTGAAATGAGTCAGTGATGCCCAGATGATAGAGGCACATGGTGATGGGAGGAGAAACAACCCCTGAGAGCCAGGGTAACAGGAGTCAAGTGCACTCTCTCTAAAGAGCCCTGTCACCTTTCAACAGGGCCCAGCAGAAAACAGGAGGGAGGAGGCCCTGGAAGTCAGGTTAGGGAAACTTACGAGACTGCTGACTCATATCCAATCATATCCACAGGCACAAGACCAGCCTAGGGGCTGGGGGTAGATAGCAGGCACAGTTCTGGGAAGCTAGCAGGTCAGCAAGGCAGAAAAAAATGGGCCCTGACACTTGGGGAAGACAAGGGGCTGAGGGAGGGTATCAGTCTGGAGTGCTGAAGGGCAACAAATCAAGCTTTGGGTTGGGCTCAAGCCAGAGGCCTGCACCAGAGCAAGTAGGGATTGGAGAGTGGACAAGGAAGAGGGCTTTACTACAGGTGCTGTGAACCTAGAGGACTGAGTACCAAATCTGGTGGTGGTTGGAAGACCACTTGACTCAGCGGACAGTACAGGATCCTGCAGGTGTGGCTGGCTGTCCTATGCCCATCAGGAGTGGTCAGACTAGAGCCATTCAGAGATTCAGCTTCAAGGTGCTGAGAAAGACCAAAGGCAAGAACTGATCAGTAGGATCTAGATTCCAGCATCCATCCTGTTCTTCATTTACATAAATCCCATCCATCCCAATATGGTCTCACCCTTGAAAAGACTCAGTGAACCATACATATAAAGTGCCCAGGACATTCCCAGCAATATGTAGAGGGTGGGGCAGCTCCATAGAGACCAAGGGATGTAAACAGTAATGGGACTGGATGAGAGGTTGGAACGGGGAGAGAAAGAATTTGCCTTAGAACAAAGAGGTCCAGCCCTAACTTGTGGTGATTTGTGTCTCTACCTGTCCCCAGGGTAGGGTGAGATTCAGGGGCTGTTTCCCAGGAAAAATACCAGGCTAAGAGATTAGACAAGCATAGGTTTTCTTTCACATGGAACGATATCATCCCTCCTCTACACAGTAAAGCCAACTGTACTGAAAGGCAGCCTGACGAGGGCACTGTCAAAAGCTTTCCGGCATGAAGGATCAGCTCACAGGCCAGACCTAAGACCCAGATTCAAGTCTAGACTCTTAAGAGTTGCAAACAGTGTAAGCAAGTCAACTGTTGCCTTTTGGAGCCTCAGTTTTGTCATCCTGAAACTTGGGAGTCACAAAAGTGGTGCTGGGAAGATCATACTGAAAGAATGCAGGCAGGGTGCTGGCACAGGGCCTGATGCGTGAGAATCTCTCATAAATGTTCTTCTAGTACTAATAGCAGCAGTAGTAGAAACGTACTCTGGTGCATGCCATGTAAATTTTACTTCGAGAACATACTGACCGCCTGCACCAGGCACCACACACCCAGCAGTGAAAGGTATAATGAGAAAATAGTTTAAAGGACATAAGTACTCTCAAAGAACAAGATGAACCTCTGAGGGACCAGAAACTCTAAATATACAGGGGTAAAAGCAGGCAGAGGAAGCAGGACCCCATGAGTATTGCTGACTGATCACCATGATGGGTGCTTTGATCTTCTCAAATACTTTTGTAGATTGTGTCATAATTACCTTTTACATCAATGGCCTTCCCACTCAGTCCATCCACACAGACAGTTCCTCAAGCACAGAAATTGGATTTTCTTCATCTTTATTTTCTTCATCTTTTTTCTTCCTGGGTTTCTAATACCAGATACCGTAGGTCCTTGACTTAGGAACGACCTCCATTCGGGAGAATGTTCATAAGTCTGATTCGTTCATAGTCTGACAAAGTGAGTCTTATATAGTACACTTGTGAATCTTACACAGTACACCCGTGAAAGTTCACAACATGAATGTTTCTAAGTTGGGGACTTACTGTATATGGTTTGTGTTCAAAATAAGGAAAGAGAAGGAGAAGGTATGTGGAAATTTCATAACCTCACAAATCAAATGGACTAAACACTTGCTTTTAAAACTGATCTTCATAGTTTATTGTGCATAAAGCTTCTGAAGGGAGGCCTGGGACATTTCACGTGATCAAATTAAGAGATCTAATCTCTGCCTTGCTTTCTGTTAGCTATGTGATTAGGACCATTAATGACCAATGTCCAGTAAAAGTAGTCAAACTGCTTAGTCATGCTGTGGGTGACAGGTCACCATGATACCATACACGTAGCCTTTATTTCTGTACATGTCAACTGTATCTCCATATAGTAGAAATCCTGCCCCTCTCTTCTTTCTAGGGAAATAGATAAACAGACATAGGGGGAACGTTTAAAAGGCCTTAAAGTGAAGGTTTAGAGTGACATCAATTGCTTTGTCTCAGGATCCAAATGTTTTAATACCCTTTGTTTGTTTTTATGTTACAGACCTCACATTCCAGTCAGCAAATTAGTGGTTTCAGAATCCTACGACACTTATATCAGTAGAAGTTTCCAAGTAACAAAAGAGATAATAGGTGAATGTAAAAGTAAAGGTAGGTGATACTGGGTTTTTTTTTCCTTTTCTTTAGGTGCTATTATTTTGGACTGCATATTTAAATATGTAGTCATTTCTTCATCATGGTTAATAGCCTATTCAAGGTATTTGAACTTGTTTTGACACTTGCTTAATAGGGAAGAAATATATTTCCAAACTATCTCCTAGATATTTCACATTAAATTTATAACATCTCTGAGTACCTAAAGCACTAGGTATTCCAGGGGAAGACACTAGACTTAGTTACTGTACTAAATAATGTAGATTCTGCATTGTAGCTAGTCCTCTTGAACCTTATGGAGATCCCCTATTACAATTTCTAGAAGTGGTGTAGAATAACACTGTTTGCCTATAATTGATACAAGAGCATGGATTCCACACGCAAACTTCTCCACACAAATACACCTACTGCTCCTGTTGCCACCAACCAAGAGGAATGCTGCATAAGGCTCAAGTCTGTTTCCTATTGTGGTTGCTCAAAATTGAGCTCAAATACTTAGTGATGTGTAGGACTAATTTCAGTGTCAATTTTAGGTTATTATGTCTATGTGGATAGAGCAGAGACTGGAAGTATGTACATGAAAATGTTACCAGTGGGCAGCAGTGGACAGATGGCTCCCACCCCCGGTCATCAACCCAAGCTGCTCATTGCCGTGAAGACACTCAGCAGGGGCTCTCAGCCAGGTTTCCAGTAATCACCATTTTGCAGTGGCAACATTTAAGCCTGTAGTAGAAGGGCTGGCACAGGGAACCCTTTGGACATGGGACAGTTCTGCATCTCAATTGAACTGCCTAGAACTGTGCACTCACACACAAATTCAGTCTTGTAAGCCTAGAAGATATTTGAATAAGATGTATAGATTATACCAGTGTCCATTTCCTGGTTTTCATAGTGTACTGTAGTTACAAAAGATGTGCCCACTGGGGGAGGCTGGGTAAAAGGACATGAAATCTCTTTGGTGTGTATATGTATATATGTGTAACCCCCTGTGAATCTATACAATTATTTTTTCTTCTTTCTTTTTCCTTTTGCAATTTTTTTTTCAGTGCTAGGGATCGAACCCAGGGCATTATGCATGCTAGGCAAGCATGCTACCACTGAGCTACATTCTCTGTCCCTTTTTAAAAATGTTTTAATTGACACATACTAATTGCACATGCTAATGGAGCACAGTGTGATATTTCAGCATCTATACAGTGGTAATGCTCCAATCAGGATAATTAGCTTTTCCCTTTCCTTAAACATTTCTCATTTCTTTGTGTTGAGTATAATTATTTTAAGGTAAAATCTTTGTTTTAAATAGGCTGCCTTAATGATAAGGAAGAACTTTTATAGTATTGCTTGGACAACGTGTCTTCTTTCTGAGGATGCTTGTCCCAGAACACATAGCTTTCAGTATAGTATTTACAAAGTTTACACTTGCCTTTCTAGAAACAATCTTCCCATTCTTTGCTTCCATCTCCAGGAAATAATATTCTGATTGTGGCCCATGCATCTTCCCTCGAAGCATGTACCTGCCAGCTTCAGGGCCTATCACCTCAGAACTCCAAGGACTTTGTGCAAATGGTCCGCAAGGTAATTCATTCTCTCACTTAGGGGGCCCATGATGCCTGGTAGTTTAATAACAGTTCAGTGACTGGCCAATAAATAATTTCTTTGAAACATGCATTTACACTGAGCTAAGAGGATTCATTTTCACTTAACCAAGATGTATTGAGTGGTACTCTGTATAAGGCACTTTATTAGGCCTTGCATAAAAGGAAAAGATGTGTTAGTGCTAGTTCCAGCTTGTAAGAGCTAAAATTTAGGAAGCAGCTTAGAATTAGAAGCAATGAGGTACCTTGGAGTAGAGGAACAGAGGTGAGCTCAAAACATGGCCAAAAGCTTAGCTAGAGGAGAGGTCTTAACAGGTAAGCCAGGCAGGGGAGGCAAGGAATTACAGTGATCCTCATCCCAGTGAAAGGCAAATCTAGGAACAAGGCAGCAAGACAGAACCCTAGGGGGAGGCCCCCACTTTTTTGGGGGTGCCTGTGGAAGAGATTTTCTGGTCAGCCACCTCCTACACTACCCCTCAGGCAAGGCTGCTACTTCCTTTCTCTACCACCAGAGTACCCTGTTCAAACTCTTTTCTCCTTTCTAAAAAGCTCACTTATGCATCTGTCCTCCCCCGGTAATCTGTAAACTGCTGGAGGACAGGGATTTTTATCTTGTTTATGGATGTCTCTTTGGACACGTAACAGGAAAGTAAGTTTTGAAATTGTCAAGTTAGCAAGAACACAGCTTCTACTTTGAATGTCACAGATACTGATGTGCCATGCACTTCCAGAAAAAGGATAAAGCAAAGGTGAAACAGTTTATTTAAAAAATTGAATAATCTTCCCCATTGTGCCCAGGTGTCATTTCAGAAATATCTGAGGTGCCTTTTGAACCTGACATGCAATTGGGGATTAACTCCAGGCTCCTTAGCATTACAACGGACCTCTTTTATCTGAGGTTCTGCTTACTGAGGTTTCAGTTACCCTCTGCCAACCAAGACCCCAAAATACAGGACCTACTCTATAGTAAGATATTTTGACAGAGAAAGGGAGAGACCACATTCACATAATTTTCACTAGAATTTTCATATTTTCTTATTTATTATTGTTGTCTCTTCTCTGCCTGATTTATAAATTAAACTTTATCATAGATACGTATATATAGAAAAAAAGTGTATATATAGGGCTCAGTGCTGTCTGAAGTTTCGAGTGGGCAACTAGTACATATAATTTTGTTCTCTTTTTTCCCACCCTACTAAGCAGCAATCTATAAACAACTACGTTTAAGGGGGTATTCACTTTTTTTTTTTTTTTTGGTACCGGGGATCGAACTTAGGTCCTTGCCCTTGCGCAGCAGGCAGCAAAACCACTGAGCTAAATCCCCTGCCCCGGTAAGGGGATATTCACTTTTAATAGATCCTTCTGATAAATCCTCTTCCAGTACAAATACTCTTTTCTCCAGTTTATCAATTCTATCCATTTCACATTATTTATTGGCTTTTGAAGGAATGCATTTCTGCAAAGCCCTTATTAATTCCTGTTATCCTCTGAACCCCCCTGAACATCCTTGTGTGGGGGGGGGGGAGTGAAGGGATTAATACTGTGTCTGTTTTCCCTTTGCTCACTGCTCTTGCTTCAGATCCCATACCTGGGCTTTTGTTCCTGTGAAGAATTAGGAGAAACTGGAATATGGCAGCTGACAGACCCACCCATCCTTCCCCTTACCCATGGACCCACTGGAGGCTTCAACTGGAGAGAAACCCTGCTGCAAGAGTAAGCCTTCAAGGGCTGAGGAGAAAAGGTCTTTTAGAGAAGAATCTCTCGGCTGTTCAGTAACAGTGGAACCCTGCACCGCATTCCAAGTGGACAGCTCAAATTTCACGTACTGCCTTTCATGCTTAAGGTTCTGGTGACGAGACTGCATAAATGAGCAAAAGGCATGATTCTGGGGGAGAAAAATACATACTCTTGGGACTCTTGCCTGGCTAACAAAGCTTTGGAGAATTGTCTTCCTGAACCTGCAACAGCTGCAGCAGAGGACCATCCTCACCCTGATTCAGGCTGTGCATGGCTAAGGAGCTTCCCTCCTCCCCACTGGAGCTGCCACCACTCTCGGGAGAAATGCAGGAAAAAGGAGTGTGTCTGGAATGCAGTCTGGGGATGGGACATTCTGTTGAACTCCATTTTCAAGTTAGGCAAAGCCAAGCTGAGAAATCCTGCTAAGGTTCTTAGAAAACATGCCCCACAGAGAGTTGTCCTTAGGTTACACATGAAATTCTACTCCTAGTCGACTCCATACATTAGCGTCACTGGCTCCAAACACTTGCTTAAGGGGTCTAACAGTTGCCCTGGTACTTCCTAATTTGGGGGGGGGGGGGGGGGGGCTTCCTGCTTCTGTCTCTGAAATGGGGAGAGGAAGCACTTCTGCTCTCCAAAGCACTTTCAGATCCTCAAGAGGACGATGAGATAAATGTGAGATATAGTCAATGATAGGTGCGGAGAACTTGAAAATTATAAAGTATATTGGAATTACCTGTGTTGCAGCCTAATGAGCCACAGCACTTCTAAGTCACCAAGAATTTCTTGTCTTTGCTCCTAGACTCTGACAGTGTTAACTAGTTAAGGAGGTTGACGTTTTGAAAGGATGTATGTTCAGGACATTATTTGAATCAGCAGGAAGCTCATTCTGTGCAATGTGGACATCTTGACAAACCATACCAGGGCCAGGTTGCAGTGCCCTCCCAGTACATGCCAACCAAACAGAATGTCCAGAGATGCACCAGTTGTACCAGGGATGTGTAATGAAGTCAGGGAACTAATTTAGCTGATGACAGTCATGACTGCACTGCTACTTGTGCTGTCCTCTTTCTGTTTGTCTTTCTATGATAATTTAAAAGCTATAAGAGGTAGGGCTACTTGAGGAAAGCTAGAGAGCCACATCCTGTGGTTTCTCATTACAACTACTTCCTGTATTTAGAGGAAGTTTATTTAAAAGAAAAATAAATGACAATCAAACCAAAACATCAGTTATCAATGTCTGTTAATTGTGTGAGTAGCTGACTGTTAGAGCCAGACAGTGGTCTGGTGTGATATAGTTCACTGTGTAGAATGTGTGTGCAAAGTAAAATCCCAACTATTTAAAGGGAATATTAGTGTTAGACAAATCTATATATGCTGTAGCAACATTGAATAAGTTTAAAAACCCAGACGTATAAGACATAATGGTTTATAAAAACAGACCTATACTTGTGTTTGAAATTGAAATTTGATGACTGCTAGAAAAAGGGGGAAGTGAAAGGTGGTTGGCTATATATGTTAGTCAGCAAAAGGATTATGGTTGTATTTTTTAAAGCAAAAGGATTATGGTTGTATTACCTAGAGAAATAAGTTATAAAATTTCCATTTTAAGAAACAAATAGTGGCAAGTTCTCCTAGCATTGGACAAATTGCTCCAGCTTCTGGCCATAGAAATAATTCTGTGCTGACATGTTTATATGTTTTAACTTAAAATATCTGGGAGGGAAATATTCTCACTAAAGTTCTTAAAACTCACATTTCAGCTAACTTAATGAACTTCATGTCCCTGCTACTCATTCTTCTGGTATTTGTAATGAAGTGGATCCACTGCCTAATCATATCTATAATGTTTATAGACTCACCACAAATTCTCATGGGCTTTGAGTGCTCAGAATAATGCTTGAACGCTTCATGTCAGATTTCCTTGAAACCGTAGGAGTGTGTTCTGGACAGTGTCTGTACTTTTATAAAATACAGTTCAGAATATGTTACCCTCTCCACTTCTCTTCAGGTTGTCCTGCCTGTCCTGATGATCAGCTGGACTTACTGGGCTTCATTCCATCGTCCTCAGTGCAGTATCAGTACAGCCTTAGGCAACTGTCTACCTGAGCCTAAGGAAGAATGGATCTGAAACAATTTTCTGGATAATTTAGGTGGAGAACCCTGAGTACAAGAAAAATTTTATTCCTCTGCTGTAATTAACTAGCTTGCTTATCAAAATGGCTGACATCTGAATTCACATTAAAATCTCATTTCATACTTACCTACTTAAAAAATTAAAATTGGACTCCAACTGAGAAATTCTTTAGAAATCATGTTGAACCCATGTGTAATAAAAGAGAAAATTATATTGCCCAATTTCAAATTCATACAAAAATTCTAGGTTGACATTACAACCTGAAGTTGAGGCTGGTTCTTTGTGATCTGAGGCTGATGGTGATTAAAACCTATGACATGTGAAGGAAGGACAGAAAAGAAGAGAAGGAAGGAATTGTTAGAAAAGAATCAAATGATTTCTTGTACAAAGGGCTGTTTTTAACTTAGAAAGCCATCTGAAATAAAGTAGTGGAAATGAAATTAGCTAAAGGACTTAATCTGGGATTGCAAATCTCAAAGGTTGCTGCTTCTAAAAGTATGCCACTTCAGTGAGCTGAGGACCCAGTGTTGTTCACAGGTGGGACTTTGCTTTCTGTGATTTTAAAATGCCACATCAATTCCTTGTGGACCAGAATAATTGGCACATTTAATGCTGGGCTGAGGGATTCATTTTCCCAGGCTGTTTCCCATCACCGCCTGGGCACCAGGAGCCTCCCTGATAGTTCAGATGACAGCATTTCCCACTACATTTAGATTGAAAGAATCTGAAGAGCTGATTAAATGGCCATCTGATGGCTGAAAGAGGAGGGTATTTTTCACTCTGTAGGGAAAGGCTTGGAGGAGTTTCTACTTTTTATTTTAATTATATTTTAACCAAAGAATTATTTTAAAGTATTCTTATATTTGAAAGATGATTTTGCAAAAAATATTTTTAAAATGCCTTCTGGAATATCAGTTTGATAAATGGTTGTTAATCATTTTCTTGTCGGTAGTGTTTGAGACACATATAGACTGTCCTCATGTTGTGTGTAGCATTGCCATAGATGTTTCTTTTCCACTCAACTCACTGTATTCGTATTAAAATGAAGTTTCTTATTTCAATTACCTAGTGTCTTTGAGAACTAATTGAACAGCAGCAAGAAGAGAAGTTCCTATCTCGTTGCCTTTGTAGAAAGGCTTCCCTGTGCAGTAACCTAGGCACTCCCCATGCCAGTGTTTAAATCTGAAAGCGGTGATGAATCGCTCTTTTGAATTTACTCTAAGTCATGCATGTGTTGGAATACAGATGAACCTCTGTTTAATTTTCACAGGCTTCAGCACAGTCAACTGTACCAAATCGGCACGAAGTTAAATGATGAGGTTTCGGGTGATTTGCATTTAAATTAGAATCCAAGCACACATGTGAGAAGGCAAAGGCGCTGGTCTGAGGAGGCCCCCTTATGGGAGGGATGAGACTAGTGGAGGAGGGTGGGAAAAGAGCGATTTAACAGCAATTTAGGTGAATGTTGACTTTACAAAGGTGATGGGAATATTTTGTTAGGTGATGGCAGATGCTTTTCATTTTTCAAACATAGGATTAAAATTGGATTTGCTTCTCTTTACTACTTCAACTATTGAATTTTCCTAGGAAAGTGACTAGCTGTAATGACAATTTAAGGGAAGAGGGGAAAAGATTGCTTCTAATGCAAGAGGAAATAAGTTGATTTTTAAATACGTGTAATATTAGGTTTGGTGTACAGTATGTAGGCTTACAATTATAGCGATGAGTAGTCAAACTTAATATACAATCAATTCTTACAAATATTTTACCCAGTATTACTTAGCTGCCACAACTCACACAAAAATCGGAATTTTGCAGCTGTTCAGCTATTCATGGACTCTGTACAGGACACATATGTATAATGAAAAATGTGTAGTTGTTCTTTTGTTGATTGCCAGTTAGACAGGAATACTATCCCAAAGCTTTTTGGTTATGCAAAGACCATTCTGCAAAAACCTGCTATTTGGGGAAGGGAAATTGGTTTCTCATTTATAAGACTATTGTATCATTTTTTCTATGTGATACAGGTGTATTTATTTGAAAAATAGTTTGTAATTACAAGAAAGAAAACCACGCCTATCTGTATTGCCAGATTCCTTGTATATTCCTTGTGGCGTTTGTGCTTTCCAGCTGGGAGTGGCCCCCTCCTGATACAGCTGGCACCATTGTAACCAGTCTGTTCCATTCCAGGCACATCACCATTGAAATGGCTCATAGATGATTTAATAAAGAGAAACTGCATCCTCAGTTAATCCAGAGCAATCACATATTAAATTCTGAGTGGTGTCTTTTGCTATCATGCTCCCAGAAGTCACTGTGGTCATTATGATTTTGGGAATGTCCATTAAAAGTGTGATTCTTCTCTCAGTGGGCCTGAGGGACACTTGCTGCTAACTCTCGGAAGGTAGAGGACGCAGGGCAGCTGTGTGGGTCTCTGTTCACTCTGGTCATCCAGACCAGAGGGGTGGCTAACAAAGCAGGCTCTAAAACGCTTCCACTTTTTCCCATGTGCAAACCGCTGGGAACACAAAGTAACTTTTCTTCTGTAACCAGCACTGGAAAACGCAACTTTTTAAAGTTATTTTTGTTTGTTTGTTTGTTTGTTTTTCCTTTATTGACAAATGGCTTCTCTAAACTTCTGCAGGCCCAGGCCATAAACTGCCACCCCCGCCTCTCCTCAGCCCAGTTGAACCAATAGAATGTGCAGATGGCGGCACCCCCGAGGTCCCTTTTGCTTTCATTTCCACAGCAGGGAAGGGAGGAAAGGTCTGGGTTCAGGAAGGGTTGAAACAAGCCTCATCATGTCTGTCTTATTCTATTTCCTTGGTCACTGTTCTTGCTGTCACAGACGCTACCACACCTATGCACGAGGAGGCGATGGCTGTTTGGGTGATGAGACCCCTCCATCTTCTGGGAGCTACCTTTGAATAAGTCCTTTTTCCTTTTTAACAGAATAAATGGCCTCCTTTGATTTGATCAGTGAGCACATGGACCTACGTGGCCAGTAACACTTGCACCAATCCTAGGTTCATGGCTGAGGTGCCTATAACAAATAACAAGAAAAAAAATACACATTTAAGTTTTCCATGACATGGGAAACTTCCTAAGGAAATAAAGATCTGAATAAACAGTTAAGCCTTTTTGGTGGAGGAGGTGGGGGACAGGGTCATGCTAAGTTTCCCAGACTGGCCTCAAACTTGGAATCTTCCTGCCTCACCCTCCTTAGTGCATGCCAGGATGACAGGCAGGCATCACCATGCACAGGCTAAGCCTGAATATTTTTATACTAAGTTTGATGAAGAGTAGGTAGCCACGGAGAAATAGAAAATGAAGAAGATGATCTAAAATGGGAATACGGCCAGGGATATAGCTCAGTAGCACAGCACCTGCCTGGCAAGTTCGAAGCCCTGAGTTTGATTCCTGATAGCCAAAAAATAAATAAATAAAAATAAAATGGGAATAAACCAGGGAAACAGGCCTGTTTGGATTCCACTCACTGTTCCTCTATTTTCAAGGGTGCTCCTCTTGTCCAGGTGCAGGGAGGGCTCTTCTCACACACAACTGCTTCAGGGAGAAGAGTACGGTTTGGCAGAGTCAGGGTGACCTTCTAGCTTCTATTTTCTCAAATCCCTTCAGCTTAAAATACTCAACATACATCTGGGCATGGTGATGTACACCTGTAATCCCAGCACTCGGGAAGTCTGAGGTAGAAGAACTGCAAGTTGGAGCCCAGCCTTGGCACCTTAGCAAGTCAACAAGACCCTGTCTCACAGAACAACAACAACAAAGGGCTAGCTCGAAGTGAAGGTCCTGGGATCAATCCCAAGTACCACAGTCAGTCAGTCAATCAATCAATCAGTTGGAAAAGGGCTGGGGATGCAGCTCATTGTAAAAGCCCTGGGTTCAATCTCCAGTAGCACCAAATTTTTTTTTCAATATGCCAAGGCACCATATTTTGGGGTAGGATGTCCAGAGCACCATGGGAGTCTTCATTCCTCATCAATACATACCTCAAAGAAGTGCACTAGATCTGCTCCACAAAGCAAGAATTTGGGGAAGAGGGGGCAAATCCACCTCAAACTCTATTCTACATTACTACAACCATAGAATGCATTTTCAAAGTAATTAGATGTTAGGCTAATAAGACTTAAAAATAGGCCTTGAATGCAAATTTGTGCCCAGGATGTGAATACAGATTTTCATTGACACAACCATCCACTCCCCTGGCAGGGCTGGCTTCCTGAGGATACGTAACAGCTAATGCTGGAATCTGACAAAAGGCCAGGCTATGTTTAGCCTTCTGGCTGGTTCTCAGCTGCTCTCTGCTTGACAGATTCCCAAACTCATTTTGGCCTTTTGTGATGTATGCAAAGGCTGCCTGCACATCCAGAGAAAATCAGTCAGTGTACTTTGGATTTGTTTAAGCTTAAATCAGCAAAATGTGACGGTGGTGTTTTTGAAAGTTGTTTGAGGACCAGAAAAAAAAGAAAAACCTTCCTCCTGACCACACAGAATACTTCATTTTGCCAGAAATACACATGTGAAACCCAGATGGCTTGCTCCTGGCCACGGAAAGATGCCATAGTTTATTTAGCTTGCCAGTTGCTGTTGCGTTCTTGGGGCAGTCCTAAAGGTCTGTGTGTCACCAAGAAGAATGTCATGCTGTATTAAGAACAACATTCAGTCAAACAGAGTTGGTTGGGATCCAGGCTTAGCTGCTCACAGGATGCCCTTACCTCATTTCCCTTGTCTAATAGGCATAATAATGATTTATTTTTGCCAGTATGGTTATGAGAATCAAATGGAATAATACATATAAAATATCTAATACTACATGTTAATGATAATAAAATGCTTCATGCTAATAAATAGAAAATTTCATTGCTAAGGCCAAAATGAAATCTTACATGGAGCCACCCCACTCTTCTATGGGGAATATCTGGGAAGAGAAATGAAAATGTCATCATTCGTATGGAGATTGTACCACTCTTCTCCCCGGAAGTGAGTTTCTGTAGTAAGAGGGGAAAGATAAAAGCGAGATTGTTGGTTGAATTTTGTGGTGTGCTTAAGAGCCCCCCTCTTAATGATCATCACCTTCGTTCTGTATAACTCTTAATAATTTTAAAAAGTTTTCACTTAAACCTCATAACAATTTTACAGGGTAAAAAAATCAGGTATAATTAACTCATTGTATGAAAGAAACTAAGATCTCGAGGTCATGAACTTATTCATCATTCTCCAATACTTAGTGGTTGCTATTTTCCTAGCAGGGCAATAGGCTGGAGCTACCTGATATTTCACCATTCCAGCCTAATTCCAGAATCTGGATAGTAGTTTAAAATGTTTTAAAAATATTGCAGAAGCCTGAAGTACCTGGGAGATGCTTGGGTTTTCAGAACAAGGAGGAGACACCATGACTTTCCTCTAATCCCCTCATATACAGGGAAAGACACAAGGGATAATCACCCATCCCCACAAAGTTCTATGAGCTGGGACTTGACAGTGGCCTTTGCATTAAGCTGGATTCCTTCTGAAAGCAACCCCAGAATGATGTTGTGTCTAGCATGCCCCATTTGATCAATTTAAAGAACCTATCTCTGTGAAAGCCCAGGTTCACAAGACAGATTTCTAGGCAGTCTCAAGGGACTTAGCTGTCCCTCTCATTTTCCAAGCAAACCCAAACTTATCACGTTTCCTGAGGTCCAGCCCTGGCCACCTAGGTCTGTGTGTTTAAGTAGGTTCTTTTATGTAACACACTGCAGGTGCTTTAGGTCCTGGGTTCTATTCAAACCTCCCAGTCACCTTAGCATTTAGCTATTGTCTCCATTTTACAGCTGAGGGAATTGATAAGAGGAGGCAAATGATGTGCTAAGTTTACACAGGAGCTAGAGACAAAGTCCAGGTGACAAGCCAGGGCCTGTCTGCCTCCCACACCTGTGTTCATCCCACCAAGCTCTGTGGCTCCTAGGAAACTTTTTTCTGAATCAATAACTAATTTCAAAGGTTGCTGGTATGGCTTAGAAACTCCTTGGTATATTTTACAACAGTGCTCAAAGAATCCTGCTGCAGTGGCAGGGAATTAGCAGTGGCATCTGCCAGGAAATGAGGCAAGTCCACCTTTTTCCCTGGCCTTGGGAAAGGCCACGATTCCCCCACAAGAGTGGTGAAAGATCAAGAAGAAAGTTTAGGGCTGTCTAGTAATTGCAATAAAAACCCCAATGTCTTCTACACATGGGAAACCCCCTATTTGTTTTGACCCCTAAAGTAGTCCACCACTGGCCTAGTTAGTATCCCTTTTCAATCTGCCCACACACAATCCAGGTGATGATGGGAAATAGAGAAGATGTTTATATTTCTAAAATCTATCTTTTCACTACCCATCAAATATTGTGTCCTGTTAGTAATGAAACAGAATATAAGGACCTCCTGAAATATGAAGCAAAACGGCAAATTGGTGGTCAGTTGAAGGACGGCAGAATGTGCCACCCCAAAATGTGCTGCTTTGATATAAGAATTATTTTGAACTGAAGGCAATTGGGAAAAAGAAGGTGTAAGAAGAGCTCTCTGCCCTCCCCTTGCTTGCTTAAAAGCAGGACATACATTTACTAAGATGTCCTTCTCCCCTCTCTACCAAGGATGAAGGTTGATTACTGGAGAAAACTTAAGATCCTTATCAGTCTGGAGAGGGCACCAGAGGGATGTACATTACAAACTTCAGTTTCTAACAAATTTGCCATTCCTAAAGACTCAAGATCTTTTCCTCTGTGTTACCACTTCTCTAAAACTCCATTGTTCTTTGTTTAAAATACTACATAGGGCAGAATTCTAAACCACCTCTTTGAGAACTATTCATTCTCAATGTATCTTCCATGCATATATGAAACATACATGATATTGCTTGGTTTTCTCCTTAATCTTTTCATTTATTGAGGTAGCAGCTAGGAACTCAGAAAGGTAGAAGGAAAATTAGCTTTTCCTCTCCTACTCAGTTGTGAGACCTCCTCCCTACAAAGTGGTCAGGAGACACGTTTCAATTGGAAAGTAAGCAGCTCACTCCCTGACCACTACACTCCAACCTCATCTTTTCTCTCCATTTGCCTCAAGCAGCCACAATCAGCCACCCTCCACGTTGTGCACACCATGGGCTGCAGGCTGAGCATGGGTTGATAAGAGAGTAGGAAGGACTGTGCAAACCACAAGGCACGTCACCCACCAGCCTGCCTTGCAGTGTTTCCTGTCTCTGAGTCCAGTG